TTTTTCCCCAAAACTTTGACTTCAAAATAAGGGTGCGTCTTATACACCGGTGCGTCTTATATTCCGAAAAATACGGTACATATACTACCATAAAGCAAGATAATATATGATCTATCCATTGAGACTGTTCCTGTCAGAACAAGAAAATCTCATTTTAGCTTAGTGATTTTGGACATTTAACCTTAGTTTAGTGATTTTGGGTGAGCAAATTTACACTCAGCTTAGTGATTTTGGGTAAGCAAATTTAAACTCAGCTTAGTGATTTTTGATAAAAAACTTAATCTAAGTTTAGAGATTTCGGATAAGCAAACTTTATCTTAGTTTAGTGATTTTGGACAAACAAACTTAATCTTAGCTTAATGATTTTTGGATAAGCAAGTCTAAACTTAGTTTGGTGATAGTGAATAAGCAAAGTTAATCTGAGTTTGATGGTTTTGAATAGGCAAGATTAACTTTAGTTTTGTGATTATGGATAAGTAAATTTAACTTTATGACTTTTCAATTTTTATAAAATCTGAGCCTTTTGAATATATATAGAAAGAAATATGGATATCATTTGCACAGAATTTTCTTTTCCAGCCACTTAAGTTTATAAAATAAAACAGTTATTGTTGCTTTTTCCAAGATATTATTTTATAACCGGCCTGTACATTTTTAGTACATATTACTTCAATGATAATGTGTTAATGATGTGTCATATAGACCCGTTTTCTAACAAAAGGAACAACGTTTGTAGTAGCATCACACACAATATTCCAAGATTCTTGTGGACATCTTAGTAATCTAAATCCGAAATTTCAACATGTTTAATGCCGAAGTTTATCATCTTGTTTACATGCATAAAATTGATTTATTTTGCACTTTCTATCAGTCACAGCATAAGACAATCTTTTTTATTATATGCATAAAAGTGATTTATTTTGTACTTTCTATAAAATATAAAGCATAAGATAATGTAAATGGAGTTTATTATCTTGTTTTTGCATAAAAGTGATTTATTTTACACTTTCTATCAAACACAGTATAAAATAATATTCTGTACTTGCTATTAAACACAGAAGCATAAAATCATGTAAATAAAATTGTTGTCTTTTTACATTCATAAAAGTGACTAATCGTGCACTTTCTATCAAACACAGAGGTATAACATCATGTAAACAGAAACCAATTTCTCCTAACGAAGTTTTATACGGTTCATCTCATGTAAAGAGAAGTACTTCAATCAACAAACCGAACATCTCAAGATGAGAAAGCTACTTCACCAGAGTCAATAGAGAAACCCATCACGCTGCAAATCTTTCAAGCTCCTATCCAGAAGCAATATGAACATATAGGTAGCAGAGACCTCTAGTGGTTACCGTTTAATGAGAGTAATAACTATGTATTATGTGTTAAATGGCTTGCTTAACAACGTGTTTAACGACCAGTTAATGTAACTTGGTCAGCCATTTTGGCAACTATAAAACCGAAAGTGTGAAATTACCTGCAAAAAAAAACAACAACAAAAACTGTCCACCTCTGTGGGAGATCGCCGTGTTCACCGTAAATAGTAATCGTGTCACGCATATTGTTCATAAAAAGAACGTAAACACACTCAATTACGTAAACAAAATCCTTAACCTAAAGCCCCAATCCTAATGAAATGATCCATAAATTGCGTGCGCACTACCTAGACGAAGGTATAAAAGCTGCTGCTGTCAATGTGAAATTGACAGATGTGTAGAGGAAATCAACGACGGTAAACGCGTTCCGTTGTTGGGTGTGAACACGCGCCCCTAAACACTGATAAACTGACGCGGAACAGGTAATCAGCATACTCGATGTAACCTTTTTTAATCCTGGAAAACTTTATAAGTATGTGACAACTAACAAGTTTTTCTTTTCTCTCTCTCTCTCTTTTTTTTTTGTATTTTCTACGCTAGGTAAAACTGCGTTTTTTTTTGGCCACTGCAGACCAACTGTTCGGTTGTTGTTGTTCGGCTGCTAACAGTTACAGCGGATCAAGTTCATATACTTAATTGATGATATCATTACAAGGTAAGATATTGGTAGTAAACCCATTTAATTTGCATATTTATGGTAATATAGGAAAAGTGTCGTGTAACAGTAATTACTTTTTTGCTTGAGAAAACAAACGTCTCAAGAGGAACTAATGTCACATCAACGTGTAATGACGTTAAATGAAACTTATTCATAAACATAAAAAACAGTTACAATTTTATACGGAACTTGAAAATGACAAAAGTAAAGTAATGCTAATACATTATAACGCCCCCACGGCTGAAAGGGCGAGCATGTTTGATGGGACGGGGATTCGAACCCGCCCTAACCAACTGGCCTTGCCGGGCCTGTAAAACAAAGAAATGATTCGTTTTCATTCTGAAGCGAAAACATCTTAAATTACAGTTTATATACGTGTTATTCGTTTAATACTTACAATGAAATTAATTTTCGTTCAAACAAAAAATACCACGCATATTCATTTCCTCATGGCGATTAATTAAAATATTTGAATGTCAAGGTTTCATGAGTCAACCCTCTCCATTTTAAAATCCTATAAGGTTCTACGTTTACTTTTGTGGGTAAAAGAGTAATAAAAACCTATCTATATAAATATTAGGTCGTCAAGAAATTATTATCGCTTTTTTTAGATGAAAAAACACGAACAACTTATATATCAAAACAAAAT